CTCGATTGCGCCGCTGCCCCCGACCTAAACCTAACTCAACTGCGCCGCCGCCCCTGATCTGCGCGCCGCCGCCCGTCCTCTGGTCCCCTCGTGCCACATCATCTCCGACCCCGGCCTCCCTCCCCGCAGGGCACCATCCGCCCAGGAGCAGCAGCTTCGTCCGCCACACCGAGGAGCAGCAGCGCCGTCAACCGCCGCCGAGGATCCACTGCTGATTTTTCTCCACGTGTGATCTCTGTTTCGGCTGATTTCCTTCCCTCCGCCCCGCCTACAGAATTCAAGAGGTAAGCTTCTGGTATGTGAGTGGTTTCTCGTCGCCCCTTCCTTGCCCCACCTCTAGATCTGGTCGCTGTAGGTAAGCTGTGTCAGTGGTTTTCTAGTATGTGCAGGTAACTAAACAGATCCAGCCATGAATCGGTTGTCCTCTTCTAGTAGGTAAATAAATCCATGGTTGTTCTTGTGCTTGCATCATCCACAAATTTGTAGCATGTAACAATTTCCTGGCCGAGGCATTACAAAGGAGAGGGATGCGTGTCATTCTTCTGTTAGAATTGTAATTACGTTTCCCTTTGTGAGTGGCATATTTTATTTTTCATTTTTTTTCTTATTTCACGGATGCCAGCTTTCAAAGCCTTGTAGCTAAATCTGATTATGTGTGGGTCTATGAAGTAACAAATGTGATATGTATGTCCTAATTATGTACACATGTAGTGATGCGTCTATCCAAGAGAAGCATTTGTCAGTAATGTACTAACAATTAGTCATGTAGGTGGTGGAGGCAAGTCAAGAATTTACGTCGGTTCTGTTACAGGAACAGAGGATAGTCCTCCTAAGCTGCTTAATGGTACAATTTGTGTCATTATAAACATTGGATGCAGTAGACTGTCATAATACCTAGTTTCTATCAAAAATGATAATAAGTAAGGGCACAATATGATGATAGTAAATCTGGGTTATGGAAGAACATTGAGTATTTGGTTTATATATTTATATTTGTATAGCAGCACCCTGATTATGCAAATAGTATAATCTCGAGCCTTAATCATGGCAGCTAGCAGAAAATGTATGGTTTAGTTTGCAAGCACATACATTGAGTATTTGGTTTCTATATTTACCTGTCGGAAAAGACCTATCCTGGCAAGACTATAGGCAACAGCTCCTTTCTGTCAGGAAAGGTCTTTGCCGACACTAAATGTGTCGCCTTAGGTGACCTATGCCGACAGATTGTTTGACGTTGCTTTGAGTGTCGTGGTGTAGTGCAACAGGGTGAGCGTGAATGCGACTATGCAGCGACTTCAAGTGGAAGGATGCCACTGGGCATATGGTATGACTCGATGATGTTGTAGGCGTTCTCATTGTTCGCCGAGGTGTTGATCTCCGGCAAGAGGAAGAAGACGGTGTCAATGCTAAAACCGGCACATCTCGGGTAGGGGGTCCCAAGGTTCGTGATCTGAGCTAGATGGTAACACGAGAAAGAAAGTAGGGACACATTTCTTAACCAGGTTC